ACTCTTTGGTGTTTGGCTCATGGAGGCAATTACACTTCCAGAATATTATTATCCTGATCGTCCATCAACGAATAAACCTGTAAGTGTTCTTCAGTATGCAAGAGTAACCAGTGATATTCGTCCGTACGCAAGTGGGTAAACAGGAACTGTGTTGTAACTGTAATAAATAAAGGCTAAAAAAATGAAAAAAAAAAACACCACCCCACAGTTAAGATAATAGTATTAATCATGATCACAATGGCAACAGTTTAAAAATACCCCACAGCATTATGAAAGAACATGGGGCGATATAAGGATAGACAAAATAACTGGTAATTTGATATGAACTGGATACACAATCAGATATCCCCGTGCGATCCCTCGAAGCTTTATGTCCTCCCGTGTTGGAAGTGGGCTTTCGTTTCCAGTTTGCTGTAAGTGTGTCTGAATGGATCGGGACGCCAGCAGCCGAGGTTGCCCGCGGTGTTCGATGAGCGCCCCGGGTTCACCCAGCATGCATCTGTATCCCAGGTGGAGTGTTCAGGGATGCAGGAGGAATCAAAGTCGATGAACCCAGCAGTTGTTTTGAATGCCCGCCGGCTGAATTGTATGCGTGCAAGTCGGTTCCTGTGGCTCTTAGACGGTTCCTCCCTCCAGTAAGCTGGCTGTGATTTGTATGGCATATGGAGACGGTTTTGTTCTGCAAAGGAGCATTTGGCCCTAAATACTACTTCAAAGGAGACGATGCCTCCCTCTGTTTTCTGCCGCGCGGTCGCATCTTTGGCAAACAGGGAAGCTTTTTCTTTGTGTTCTTGTTGAGCGATGCTCGGCTTACCCCTGCGCTCGTGCACTTTTAGAAGGATTCTACAGTTTCCTGTGGCCTGTTTTGTAGTTCGGATGTCGGCTCGTGTTTCTCTGTCGACGTTCAGACAGGTGTCGATAAGAGACGCTGAGGCGGCATGTGAAATGCCTGAGGTACCAAATAAACAGGTTTTAGCCTCAGTCGTCTCAATAGTAACATACTGTTATGTAGAAGCATTAAAAGCCAGCGCTGTGTGCGTGTGCAGAGTATTTGTATGAAATGATGATGAACGTGAATGGAAGTGAGACTTTGATGTTTGCAACCAAACAAACATTTTGCTCAGTCGTTATCTCGGGACACTTTTCAAAAAGAAACTCTTTATAAAATTACCACCACCAAGCGGTCAACCATTATTCTTTGACTCTGGATGATTAAGTTCACTCCACCTCAACTTCTTCCACTTCTGGACTCATTTGAACTGATG